AGGTGTGTTTTTTTTTTTGGGGGGGGGGGGGAGGGAGGAGAGCAGAGAGGAACATTTTCTAAACAGCTCTACCGTAACCCTTTCAGAAGAAAGATGGTGTTTTTTCTGGGTTTGAACAGTGCACAACATAATGTGGTCCCATCACTGCTGGGGCTTTTGGGCATTGGTCTTTTATGAATTAGAGAGAATGGACAACTGCGGGAACTTGATCAAATGGTGAACACAGAAAAGCACGATCATAGCACTTATATTGATACATAAATCACAAGAATCATAACATCAAATGGAAGGAAACTGATCACAACTCCTCGTAGGGCAGGTCTACACTACAAAATTAAGTAGGCCTAATTTACGTCGGTATATAGCTGCAGCAGTAATTGCGTGGCTTGTGTATGTCTACACTTTGCTCCTTGTGTCAGAGGTGCGCGTCCTCACTGGGAGTGCTTGTATTGATTGTACTGGCACTGGGGGGCACAGTAAGCCGGCTTCTGAAAGCTAGTAACACTCAGTATGTCTCCACTGACACTGCATCGACCTTCACTCCACACCTCTCATGGAAGTGGAGTTATTAAATCACTGTGGCAGGGCAGTTATTTTAGTTCCCTAGTCAGGTCGATGTCAACTACCTTGCATCAACCTAACTCTGCAGTGTAGACTAGGCCTCAGGCTCTTGTCAGACTGTCAAGAAGGCATCTGCAACCCTAATGGGGAAGCGGACCCTTTCTCACCCCACCCTACCCCCCAAAAATTGAAGCTGAAATAATAAATAAAGAAATTTTGAAATAATGGATGTATTTTCTGCTCTTCTCCTGTCTACTTTATTTACAGGGAATTAGGATGAAGTTAAAGAGGAGCTATAAGTGATCTTTATAAACTGGATGAGAGATATCCTAAGTTGATGAGAACACATTTGAGTGAGTCCAAGTGGAATCATGTACCCTTTCTCACGGACACACTCTGAGGTGGGCTCCTGCACCCCCAACCCGGAAGAAAGGGAAGATTTTCTCACCAGCGAAAGAGGCCGAGCAGAAAGCGTAGAACGGTTTCACATTATCAGCATCGAAAAATTCCACCAGCCCCTCTTCATAGTTCAGAGAAACCCGAATCTTGTCAGGTTTCCTACTTAGGGAAAGGAGTGTCGTAGGACTAGTGAGAGCCCAGAGCTCACCCCACCACTGTCGCTCTACAGCCCAGATCCCCTCCTCAGGACTAAGGATCACTACTCCTTCCTTCCTCCTCACAGACTCTCTGGCCACCCCCACAGCCCAGCCTCCTTTGCTCCCAACTTCCACCCCCCAATAATGTCTCCCAGAGGTGAATCCCTCAGACGCCAGCACACACGGAGAATAACAAAATCCCTCATGATTGGCGAGCAGCTTCTCATCTGTGCCTTCCAGTCTGACTCTTTTCCGATCCTTCGACAAGATGAGGTAGGGATTTGCTGACTCTGGATCCAGGGTCACCCCCTCTGGAGAGAGTAAGAGAATCAGTGTGTTAGAGACAGAGCTCAGCCCTGGGGGAGGCTTTGATCGTATCAGTGACAGAATCTGCCCCAGCTGGAGAGTGAATCAATTTATCTCCTTTCTCTTGATTGTATATCTGAGGGAGGAAGGACGGCTGGATGATGAATAGATTTTAATTAATATTTTAAAATGATCACAAATGTTATCCAAACTTTTCATTTGCCAAAAAACAATTTTTGGATAAATTAAAAAAAAAAAAACCTGACCATTTTTAAATAAAAACGTTAAAAAAAATTCCTCAAAATCCTAAAAAAAGAAAAATGTTAAACACTTCAAAAGGAAAGCATTTTAAAAATATTTTTTGCAAAACTTTTTTTTCCCTTCCATTTTCCAACCAGGAGAGATCTGCCACTGTTCACACTTCTGCTTTCTCTGAAGCTGAGATCAGGGATCATTGCTGGATCCCCTCAGGTAAGAACAGTGGAAAGAACAGTATGATTATGCTGAAATGGGTATGTATACGGTCTTGAATTAAGAAGAAAAAAGAACCAAAGACCTCCTTAAAGCCAGGGGGTGTGCTGAGCTCACTCTGTTACCATCCATGGGAGGCGCAATCAAGCCCCTTTACATAGTAAAAACATCTGGAAACAAAGAAGGCCACAAATGCAGGAGAGGGCTAAGTTTCATGGTCTGAGGGGTTTCCTTTGTTGCAGAGGCTAGGAGTGTGTGAGTGTGAGTGTGTATATTACAGGGAGAAAGCCAGAGATGCAGTTGTGAGAGTGACCCTGAGAGGAAGCAGAGAGACCAGAGTCCCCATTCCACTAAGGGACACACAGCTTTACAACACCGAACTTTTAGGCACCTAGGAATCACCGTGAAAACAATGGGAACCCAAAATCCTGAGTGAGGCACCTAGGCTTCCTATGTGAATGGGGAGAGAGAGGCCCCTAAAGCTACATCGACATTACACACCACTGGCAGTAGGGTGCAGGGTCCGTGTACCCACACGCTGCAGTGAAAAGCATGCTGTATCGACACTGTGGTGTGTAGCTACATGTTTTAGTGAAAGGTTCTGGCCAGGTGGGGGCAACGGGGAAAGGCTCTGGCAGTGGACAGTTGTTGGAGACTTTTCCCACTGCCTTCCCACCAGAGCCTTTCCCCACTGTTTGTGGCAGGGAAAGGCTCCAGCAGCGACCTACAGAGGTGAAAGTCTCTGGCAGTGGGGAGGCAGCGGCACATTCTGGGAAAGGTTTTGCTTGGGCATGTAGAGAGCCATGTAGGGTACATACCCACAGGGCACATGGGTGTTTTCACTTCCCTAAGCCGAGCCTCACCGTCTACAACTGCTATTTATACCCATGCTAGGGGGGCGTATAGCGTATGCTCTCTGCGCACGGCCACAAGAATACCGTGCAGTGTAGATGCACTTTAAGGAGGGGATTCACAAAAGCCGGCATGCTAGACAGGGAGCTGCCTAAACTAACTGGTGGGAGGGGTGTGTGCTAAGCCCCGTCCCATTCATGGAGATAATGCCTAAGTCTGGACAGCACGGAGGTGCCTGTCTCTGCTTGTGATCCATGAACCTGGGGGATGCAGGCACCTGAATGCCTGTCGTGCCTGGAGGGCCTGAGCTGGTAAATGTGCTCAGAGGCTGACTAGTTCAACACAAAACAGTGGGAGTGAGGAAAAATGCACATTCCTTTATAACCTTTAGTCCAGTGATTAGGGTGCTCACCTGGGCTATAGGCGACCTCTAACTCTGCCTGCTCAAGAGAAGGGATTAAAACAGGGATCTCCCATCTCTCAGGTAAGCGCTTTGGCCAACAGTGCCGGAACCTTGGTAGAGGGGGGACATCAGGCCCCGCCCCTTTCTGTGGCCCCACCCTTGCCCCTCCTCTTCCCCGTGTGGCCCCACCCCGCTCCATGGCCCTGCCCCCTGCTCCACCTCTTCCCC